ATTTCTGAAAAATTTAAGGGGTAGTTATATAATAATTTTGGACGATCTCGGGCGGTCGGATACTTATGACCGCTACTATATATTAGAATTACTATGTAAACTTTAAAAATCATTATTTGAACACCCTGTCTAACTATTATAATTTAGTCAGAATTAAATATTAATAATATATATAGGCATTAATATATTCATTAAGCTATTAATATTTTTATTCTATTTTTATAGTTTAAATTTTTACCAATGTTTAAAATCAAAATACTGTAAAAAAGTTAACAACAAAATTAATGTTATTTTTATTTCCTGTTTAGGTCTAATTTCCTTAAATCAATAATTTTATTTGCATTACAAATACTAGTGAATTTTTTTAATCATTTTATTGGATCCTAATTTCCTTCATAATAAATTAGAATATCTATGACCTTTGCTTCTTTTATTAAAAGATTTTTTAATACATTTGTATTGGCTTATATTTGGATTTATAAGTTTATAAAAGTTTTATTTACATTTGATTATTCTAATGGCTGTAAAACTCCTTATAATTCTTATAATACTATAGTTAAATTTTATAAATCTACTGCTTAAACTGCTATTATATTTTCTTCTTGAAATAATTCTATTAGATTTATCAGTTTGTCATTGAAAGTAAATTTTCTGATTGTTATTTTTATTTAAAATTAGTAAGATTTAATATATTTTTTGTCAAATGATACTAATGCAATAATATTCTAATTATAATAAAGATTATTAAAAGGTTTCATAATAATTTCTTTAGCAAGTATAAAGGTATTGTATATGATTTTTTTGAAATTTATCTGTAACTTATACTAAATACTAAATTAAAATTATTTCTTAGGTTTCTTCTTCTTTTTGAATATGTAAATATTTCTCAAAAAGCTGTTGAATAATTTTTTGCCAGATATTCAGTTGAATACTAATTTCAAAAATTTCTAAAACAATTTGTTAATAAAATTTTCTATAAAATAGCAATTTTTGTAGAAAGGATCTTAATAATAAGTAGTAAAAATTTTTTTAGTGTAATTTTTGATGAAGCTGTTTATATGTATTATTTTTTTCAAAATGTATTTTAAATATATAATTTTAATGGATTTTTTAAATTTCTAATAAAAGGTATTATGTGTTGTATTTCGTTCTTTTATTTATATATTTATAAATAATTTTAAATGTAAGTAGAAGGTATTGATTGAATAAATAAAATAATAATAACAAATTATTAGTATTACCTTATCATTAGTACTTTATACTTTTGTTTGATCAATATTTTAAACTCTATAAATACCAAGTACTAAATTCTACTTAATTAAAATTGCATAAATCATAAAATAATTACATAAAAATTGAATTATAAAATACTAATAAAATTAAAAATTAAAAATAAAATAATAAACAAAGTTACATATACAAAATTAAAAAATTAAAATAGTAAAAGATTATTGTAAAGGTGTAAAAAAAAAAAAAAAATCAAAGAAATATAATAAAAACAAGCATGAAAATTAAACTGTTTAAGGATTTTCAGCTCATATATACAAAAAAAATAATTAGGCTACCTGACGTCTTAAACATTTTGTCATACTAGTATCTTAATAATCTGGTATCTTGACAGCCTGACAAATAATTATCAAAAAACTAACTGAAAATATCAAAAACGATTTTTATGCAGAATTATAGAGATTTTGGCCAGAATTACATTCAATTGTAACATATGATTACATTTAACTAGAGATGAGAAATTAACAGTTAATTAAGATTTGGTTAATTAACTGGTTAATTAACCGTTAATTAACATTATCAGTCAAGGAAGATGTCGCAAATTTTTTAAGTAAAAAATTTTATTATGATTGACATAATAAAATTTTTGATGTAGTATCTCCTTCAAATATATAATACATGTATAAAGTTTAAAATTAGCTAAAATTAATTTAATCAGTTAAAATCAATAATCTTTAAATCTTAATTCTGACCAAAATTTCTTAATTCTGATCAAATTCGTAATTTCAGCCTAAATGTAAGTTAAAAATAAAAAATATAGGTCAAATGTAATACCATATTTATGCAATGTAATATTTTAACCTAAAAACTAAAAGTGAATCTTATCGATCTCCTTTATGATTTTTTTAAGTATTTTTTACATAATTTTTATTATGTGAAAAGGATCTTCAATGAAAGTTAGTATATTCTTTTGTCTTTAATTCACTATAACAGAAATAAATTCAAGTTTACCAAGTGAAATTGATGATTTCATTAACAATATACTGGAGAATAAGAAAGTCTTGACTAGTTTATTTATTGAAGTTACTATAAATAAAGCAAGAGAATTGCTCATTTCAGATTTAAATAATGTGGATAATGATTCTGAAAATACTGATTGGGATACTGGTTCTACATTAACTATAGCAAGTAGAAGTACAGAAGCAGAGGATGAAATAATAATATCACAAACTAGTGGTTCAAATTTGACTTCATGTGTATTAATATACATAATAAATAGATCAATTCAAAGATGTGGTGAAGTTAAAAATTTATGAGGACTTGCACAATTAGTTGACACATGGTAACTTAATGACAATGCAGTTCATAAAGCTAAAGAGTTAGAAAATCTTGGAGTATATTAAAAATATTTTATGTTTGATCAAAATCATCTTCATAAATAGGATGCAAAAAAAGAATATAATACTATACATAGTTATTTATATTGAAGACATTGTTTATTTTGTGAACACAATTTTTATTTTTTAGCTGTAAAAAATTTTGTCATAAACATTCAGTTTCTTTTAGAAGTAAAAATTTGCATATATTATGTATTGGCCAAAAATTATGTTCTGCATTAAAAATAAATAAACTGACTATTACAAATGCAAAATTACAACAAAAATCACAATATGTATGTTGTAATTGTTATGAAAAACATGGTGAACATTTGTATGTAAAGTCAGGAAAAGAAAAACTAACATTGCAATGCAATCATAACAAGGATACTAATATGGCTTTACAATTAATAGGCAATTGGATTATTAATCTTAGTTACTCCAATAATGATTTATTAAAAAAAATATTCTAACATGTTTAATAACAATAATTGAGTAATTATTGAATTATACTCCATCACCTGTCTCTTCTGAAAATAATACCAATTCATCAGATTTAACAATATCAATGTCATATAGTTTATTTGATACTAAAGTTTTTTTTAGATTACATCAAATAAAGTTAGAAGATCTATGTTATAATTTTTGGGATAATGATTTTCAAAAAATTGGATTACAAATAGGACTTGACTTTTTTAAAAATCGAAAACAATTCTTACAGCAAAAATAGATATTAGAAGAATTTAACTCATTAAAAAAAATATTGTTTAGCACTGCCATTAAAATTATATAAATTATTAGATAGCATTATTTAGGTTTTGTTCAAAAAAAAGATAATGTGCAAATCAAAAAAAAGAAGCAACTTTGTAATGATAATAATTATAATTATCAATCAATTGATAATAATAAAATTCAAAAAATTGTAATTTTTATTTGTTCTATAATTATTTTCAGTAGTTTTAAGGGTGTAAAAGTATGGCTTACTAGAATAGTTTCTAGTTTATGTCAAAAATCTCGATTATTTTTAAGTTTTCATAATTTTTTAGTATCAATTAATGCAGTAAGAATCACCAGAAAATATGAAAGGATTCTTAAAATTAAATATATAGAATTAGCTGATCCTAAGTTATGTGTTTGACAGAAATCTAATATTTGAAATATATGTATCATAGATAATATAGATTTCAAAGAGAAAGCATTTACTTACGAAAATATTTATGACACAACTCATAATAGTTTTCACATTACACTATGCCTTTTATTTCAGTATCAATTACCCATTAATCTAAGTTTAATTCCTAATGATAAAATTTAATTAGATGAAAATACAAAACTTTTTAGTGAAATCTAAAGGTAAAAGAAGTTCTGTTGACTTTTAATTCAATTTTTAAAGAATTACTCAACTGCTAAATTAAAGATAATTTTCTGATTCAGTTTTCTTCTGAATATTATGCTAAAATTATTAACGATAAAATAATAAACTATTTTAATAGTGGGTCATATTGTCCTCTAACATATGTAGTAATACTAAAAGCAGAAAATGATCCAAATAAAGATGCAAACATAAATGCTGCATGTGATCAATATTTTGATGATTTGCAAATAAATGATAATTCAACAGGAATTGAAATAGTATGTGATAAAGCTATTTTTCGGAAAGTTCTTAAATACCATCAAAGTAATCTTAAAATATGACTACTTCTAGGATAGTGACACATAAGCAAAGACATATGCAGCGTATTACTTACGATTTTTTCAAGATATAGGATTTATAATATGACGGCAAAACTTGATGTAGTTTTTAAGATAAACTTGAAAAAGTAATTGACTATCAGTTTATATATCGTATCTTGGATTTAATTTATATTGCCATTAGAAGTACTATTTATATTTACATATCAAAGAATAATTTAGAACTAGAAGCTATAATAAATTCAGAAAAAAATTTATTAAAAGCATAGTTTCATTTTTACCATTAGGCTAGAATCTGAAAAGGATACTGAGCTGGTATTAGAATAGAAAATGCTGAATTACAAATATAGTGTTTATCTGCATTTGCTTCCCTTTCCTCTATTGTCAGAAAGTCAAATTATACCCGATCAACAATTCATTTTCTTGCAATTTTGGCTAAGTATCCATATATTTTAACTTTATTGAAATATGCAGGTTCTGTTAATTTAACACGAAATGAACATTATTTCACCTTTGACAAAGCCTTAGAGACATTTGATGTAAAGTTCATAAAACAGAATATTACTGGAAATGTCATAAGTGAAGAAAATTTGAAACTTTAAATAAAAGCTGCACAATCAGAGAAGGAAAGAATGAACCTCTTACTTGATAAATTTCTTGGTGATATACAGGTACACAGGCAGTTAATAGACGCTGAGAAAAATTATGGAAATTAATAGAATAAATACTTGAAGTATTTGAAATGGAAGATGGAATACAGCATTTAATTTTTCAAAATTGTGATCAATTAATTTCAGAAGGATTTGAGAAACTGTTTAGGTATTATAATGTATAATACGCCTAGATAAAATCTATCAGCAAGAGATTTTACGCTTAGAAACAATTAATACTAAAGGTAGACATGCAAAAGGTATTATTACTACAAAAGTTACAGACTTATTAAAAGCTACAAAAGCACAAAAAAAGTGCACTTATTCTACTAATGATCCACAAATTGAAAGTTCAACAGCACATAATTCAAATATTTCTACTATTGAACAAGAACTCACTCTTAAAAAGGTCAAATGGCACCATCTATCAAAAGAAAAAAAATTTTGGAAACTTTATTTGCATTTGATGCAATGCCACCTGATGCAACTATTAATTCAGTATTGAAAACTCTACTAACTTATTGGGATGACTGAACAAAGAAAAGATTAGAGATGCATGGAATTATGAAAAAAGAAAAGGAAAACAAGCAGACAAAATACAAGAATGAGTAATATATTGTTTTTGTAAATTTTCATTGTCAATATTATTACGTAGAGTAATAAAAACATTGAAAATATTTTTATTTTATAATAATAAATAGCAGTTACAAGTTTTAATAAGAAATATATATATATAAATCAATTTTCGCATTTTACACAAAAACTGTTCGAATAACTATCTTTATGTACTTAAAAAAACTTTTTCTTTGTGTAAAATTACACATATTCTGTTGTTAAAATATACATTTCTTTCTACCTTCAAAAGGATTTTTAAAAAAAACTTGGTTTTTAGTACAAGTTTTCTGCCAAATATAAAAAAGAAATGTCAGTTATTAAAATAGAAAGTAAGGAAAGAAATTGATAGAATACATGATGCTTTACCATTTTTCTAATTTATGTAGCACGAAATATTGGAATTTTTGATGGTTAATTATAATGTGAAATTTTAACATAACATTGATTTTTGATAGGGATTGAACTCTTTTCGCTATGACCAAAACACACAAAACGAAAGAGAACAACAGGAACCAAAGAACACAACAATCACACTCTCGCCCTAGCACGCCAGAGCAACAACCGAATAAGAAACAGAACACTCTACAAACTGTTGAACCTGAAAGTAGTATATCCACCAACAATATCAACGACGAAACTCCACTTATGGACGTCGACTATCTTCCGCTCGACAAAGGGAAGGGTAAAGAAGCTTTACAAAGCGAAACAACCTTAGTTGACACAACCAAACAACGTGAAATGAACATCGATGACGCCAACGATGCTTCTGAAAATTTCTTGAACAACAGAAAGAGCCCTCAAGATATTTCTACAAAAAAGATGAAATTTTTCGCTTACTTCCCAATAGACGACTACCCTGAAAAATCCCCTCAGATGAAAGTTTCTGATGTCACAGACCTTGTGTTTGATAGATTCGACTCATTTCGTGTGTCATTCTAGCTAAACACCTAGAAGACCAATCAAAAAGTATACTTAAGGCGACATTTTCCGATAAAGAAGAAAGGGACGCGTTCTGTAAGGTCATCTTACTTAATTTAGAAAAATGCACGTTTTTGCCCCTTGACATCGTACCTAAACATCCGTTCGTTCCACAACAATTGATCAAAGTTACAGAGATTCCATTGGACACAACAGAATTTAGAATTAAGAAAATCTTTTTCTGATTCAGAAAGATCGTTAGGTTCGCAATAGAAACAAAGAATTTATGGCAATAAGCCACAATTACATATGATATCGACGCCAATTTCACAGAACTTAAAAAAGTCATGGTGTCTTCATCCTCAATGACATGGTGAGATTCCATATGTGTGACTTATCAAGAGATCAGATACTAGGACGATCAAAGTTTTCGGCCAAGCTCACGTGCCTCCCATGTTACACTACAGGCAAAGATTTATCAGACCTTGGATTAATGACCAATGCGACAGCCTGGATCATCCCTAAGGCTAGATCTAATTATAACAACCTATAATATGCCTTCTTCTATTTCGCATCGGCGGACGACCATGAAGCGGCAATCAGTAACAACAACCTTATGATTAATGGAAAATATGTTGAATGGACAAGTAACAAAACGCAATTATGCGCCATCTGTTCCTTTCCCCATCACAAAATAAAAGACTGTCCAAAAAAACAAAGAACATCTAACGATAGAAATACACAGAACCTGTATCAAAGATTTCAGCCCGCTCAATACAACAACTACAAGGCTCTGTCCCACCCTAGACAAGGAGCGGTCAATCTAAATGTAACTTTTGCCTGAATTACTAAAGGAAGACAGGACGAACAATCTCTACCTCCAACAAAGCCTAAATATGGTATTTCTAACAATAAAGACGGATCTTTTAGGCTAAGAGGTCCGAATAATACACCACTTCCTTCCTGGAGTGATGACGTCCTGCTCAACATGGATATCATCGATAATACACTTACTCTAATGGAACCACATAATACAACCGCTGATACGAAAGCGGGAGGCTCCATGCATGAGAAATCTAACAATGAGGTCGACTTCAAAACATTTATCAAGGACAGCTTCCTACAATTAACTCAGAAACTAGAAGATTTTACAATCGCCATGGGTTCAGTCATGAAAAGAATGGATACCATAGAAAGCACCCTTAATATCAAGGTCCTAACTCCAGATGTAAACATGGACGACTCAGATATGGTGTATGGCTACGACACCCCGGCTATTGATACATCCAACTCAGTTATCAATAAACAACAACGCACTATTGATGCCCTTAAAGAACTTAATGATGCCCAAAACTTACGCCTAAAGCATTTCACAGAAATGGTAAATGGTTTGGTGGACTCGTGTAATGCCTTCCGTATAATTCTCGTTCAAAACAATTTATTACCAGCAGACAAAACAGCAGAAATGATGGCTCTCAACACTAATTACGACATAACTGCAGATAAGGCTCTTAAGAGCCTTCCTCAATTCTAAAAACAAACAAATATGATTACTGTCTCTACAGATATTAATAACATTTTAACATCCTCAAATACTAATAATTCCACCCTTCCATTAAACATTCCAAACCTCACCTTCGCTACCCACAATGTTAGATCATTCACAAACACTGCAAAACAACATTTCCTCCTTTCCCTTTACTCTGCTTATAACATAGATATCATCGGCCTTCAAGAAACTAACTTTAAACAAACACATGCAAAGAATTTCAATCCAACTCATTACTTCCACATATCGTTTTTCAGTTCAACATCAAAACAGAGAACGGCCTTTGGAGTTGGACTTATACTAAAAAAAGACATCGCCCATCATGTCTTTAAGCACGATACAAAACTAGATCAATTGATTTATGTGGATTTACAGTTCGCCAATAAACAAAAACTGCATGTCATTAACTGTTACTTACCACCCGCAGACATGAAAACCAGACAGGAAGTCCAACACATACTAACAAAATAGATCAAAGAAGCTTCAATATTAGAATATCATGTGACCTTATTAGGGATTTCAATGCTAACATAGACCGATAACACAACCCGACGGATGCACTCAAGTATTTCGACACATTGCACAGAATGTCTATGTTTGATGCCTTCACCCTCAAACATGACTGCGCAAGAATCGGTTTTCTCTTGTATACTAATAGTCAAAGCGCCTCGAGAATTGATTACATATGGACATCAACGGAAATTTTTGTCAACATACTGGATTGCTTTACCATTCCGATAGCTTCAGATATATCCAACCACCTGCCAGTCGTGACAAAGTGTATTAACTTCTTAGATATCAAATTCAACAAAAGAAAAGTACAAGCAAAAATAAGTTTTGACTTCAAAAAAATGGACAACCATAAATAGAACAAATTTGAAACCAAATTTGATGCACTCTTAAATGGCTGCTCACTGAAAATCTTGAACGTCAACACTTTTTGAACACAAACTTTGCTCAACAAACAATGAGATCAATTCCAGGATTTACTGATTAAAGCTGCTGAAACTACTATTTCCATTCGAAAATCAACAGGATAATTTAAATACCTGAGACCCCTAGATTGTCCAAACTTTATATACAACAAAAAGAACTCCACAAATTCAATAAGTTATTACGCTCAATCAAAAATAGGGCATCTTTTCCGGTCTCCTGGTCTCGTTCATATGATATCTACATCAATATTGCGCACCCACTAAATTTAGTCACCGCTCACCCTATTCCAGATTATCTATTTAATTTCATTGACCTTCTGCTTTCTGACACTAATTTACTGATCAACGTAATTCATTGTAAAGCTAAACTGCACGAGAAGGAATACAAACTTTAAGCAGTCCAACAAGTACTCAAACAACGTCTTGAAAACTACGCTGTACAACCTGGTAAAATGTTAGACTCCACCCTGAATCGTTTGAGAAGAACCATAGTACTTGACCGCTGCCTATCAAGGAATTCCAAGGATTTACTCACAGACGAAAGTGCTATCAAACTTAATATTAACGAACATTTCCAGAAGGTGGCTGGTACCACCCATGAAAACAAAGTGATTCCGGAGGAATGGAGCTCTATCTACGATCTGATCTTCAACATCAACCCCAATATATATAAATCCTTAATGTCACCCCTACGGCAGATGAATGGTACGACGTTATAAAATCCCTAGCTGATGGTAAAGCATCAGGTCCCTCAAAGATTCATAATGAAATATTAAAACACCTCAGTCCGCTCGCCAAAAAGCTCTTCTGACACATAATTTGTGGTTGCTTAAGGATCTCATCGTTACCGAATAGATGGAACTTAGCATACATTTATCCTATCCCCAAACCTAAACCGTGGGAATACGACCTGAATAACACTCGGCCTATCACACTACTGGAATGCCTAAGGAAAGCTTTAATTAAACTAATCAACAGACGTCTTTTAACAATCCTCGTCTAACACAGTATCCTAAAGGGATATAACTTCGCAGGTCTACCATTTCGGTCAACTTTCAAACCATTACATATTTTCGATAACATCAAACATGACGCACTTACTAATAAAAAGGAGCTATGGATCCTATTGTAAGATATGTCCAAACCCTATGATCGGGTTAATGTTGTTATGTTAGTCAGAGCCTTGGAAAGACTCAAACTACCCAAAGAATTCATATACTTCATTCTTAACATGTTCGTCTCTCGAGAAAACCAAGTTTTCACGACCTTCGGAAACACTGATACATATAAAGTTTTCTCAGGTATTGATCAAGATGAAATTATTTCTCCTCTCTTATGGAGTATCTATTACGATCCGCTCTTATGCAAGGTATAATCCTCAGACTTAGGATATAACATATCAGTCAGGTGGAAACCAGATGTAAGAACTGAATCTTATAATAGCCTCCAATGTAAAACATCAGTATTGGTATATATGGACGACACACTTTGGATTGCTCGATCAAAGGATGACCTAA